TTTACTACCATAATATATTATTTTAATAAAATTTTATATTGGTTTTGGACAAGTAATATCTTTAAATTCATCCCTTAAAAATGGGCGAATATTATGATAAAGATACTCTTGCCTTTTATAATCCAAAGTAGGTGGTGCAGCAGGCGATTCTATTGGTATCGCAAAACTTATTGTTTTAGCGTTTGTTCCACTCGTACTTTTCTTTTGCTGTTGATTATTATTTTGCAGAATGCTATTTTGCCAACTACTATTTTGCCGACTGTTATTTTGTAGAATGCTATTTTGGTGAATGCTATTTTGCCGATTGTTATTTTGCTGAATGTTATTATGCCGAATGTTGTTTTGTTGAATGTTATGTGATGATGACGATGAATGATTAATAATAGATAAAGATGATAAAAGTGAATGCTTATTACTCCTTTTATTTGATGATGGCAAAGAAGATTGTGAAACCATAGAAATTGGTCTTTGACTATTTCTATAAATAGAACCACTGGATGATATCCTTTTTCTACTTCTTTGAGATGGTTGTCGTAAAGGTTGCTGTAGCGTAGTAGAAGTTGTTTCACCAATTGATAATGTCATGTCATTATTATCATTATCATTATCATTATCATTATCATCATCATCATCATCTTCTTCTTCTTCTTCTTCTAAGAATGATGTTAATGATGATGATGGCGAAGATTCAAAAGGTGTTGGTAAATTTTCTTCTACATTTTCATTTTCATTTTCAACAATATTATTATCATCATTATTGTTGTCCTGGAAATTGAAATTTGTTAATGAACTTGGTTTTCTTAATATATTTTTATTTGGTAAAAATGATTCATTATCATCATCATTATTATTAGTAGAAGGATTAGAGGAATTAGAGTTGGAAGAATTTGTAATTGTTCTTTGATGATAATCCGAGACATTATCATTATTATTGGTTATTGATGATAATTGTTTTTGTTGTTGTTGTTGCTGTTGCTGCTGCTGTTGTTGTTGTTGTTGTTGTTGTTGTTGTTGTTGCGTGGTGGTGATATTATTACTAACATGATTGTTAACGATATTGGTAGCATTACTGCTACTATTGTTATTACTAACTAAACTAATGCTGCTATTATTATTACTATGATTAATGATAATATTTCCACCAGTAAATACATCAAACAACCTAGCTCTTATCATTTTAAATTCATCATCAGATATAAGAGATTTTTCAAGTGCATTATTTAATTCTATTAAGCGTTCTGTCAATGAAAAGTTCATTTTTTTGAAGCGAGAGAAAAAAAAATAGTTAAATTTGTTAATTGATCATCATTTAAATGTTTGTTTATGTTCACTTTTACAATTGTAAAATTCCTGATTGATTTGTGTCCCATATAACTTATATAACTTCTATAATTAGTATTAGGATTAATATTAATGCATGTGAGTTATAATAATAATGTGATGCTTTCGAAGTAATTCTTTCGAATGTTCGTTGAAATATTTGTAATACGTATATACTTGAATGAAAATATTTTTTTAAACAAAAGCAGATAATAACGATAATAATAACAATACCATATTGACAATTGAAGAGGCCAACTTGAATCTTTCATTAAAATCTT